CATTTACATTGAAGGAGGCTAGAATAATGGTTTCATCAGAGCTGGACAGTCTTACATTACAGTTTTATGTATATATTATATTATTATATATTATATTATGTATATATTATATTATATTATTAGCACAGTACAATATCAGTATTATATATTACTATATTGTACTATACCATTATATTGTAATATTATTAATAATACTAGCTGTACCCGCCACGCGTTGCTGTGGCCAACCTTCCCTCCCTCTTTCTCTCCTCCCTTCCCTCTTTCCTTCCTTTCCTCTTTTTCTTTCCCTATCTCTCAACTTTCTTCCATCTCTACCTGTTTCTTTCCTCCCTTTCTTTGCTCTTTGGTTACATCCTTCCTTCCTTCCCTATCTTTCGTTCCTTCTCTCCCTCCTTCCCTCTCTTTTTCCTTTCACTTTTTTATTTCCTTCTCTCATTCCTTGCTTCTATTTCTTTCTTTCTTTCCTTCGTTCCCTCCGTCCTTCTCACCTTCCTTCCTTCCCTCTTTCCATCCTTCTCTCGTTACTTCTTGACTGTCCCTTCCATTTAATATTGTATTTATATCTTACATAGAAGGAGGAAAGGAAGAAAAGGCATCAAAAAAATCAAGAATAGCTGGAATGTTAAATAGCCTCAGAGTGTCAGTCTATATATGTTGTGTGTCTATGGCATTGAATGTTTGCCATGAATATGTACATTGTAATCCACCCTGAGTCCCCTGTGGGGTGAGAAGGGCGGAATATAAATACTGTAAATAAATTAAATAAAATCTATCTATCTATATAAATAAAAATGTAATGTTCGTTTGTGTTATGAACTGAACTCAAAAACCACTGGACGAATTGACACCAAATTTGGACACAAGACACCTAACAACCCAATGTATGTCCTTCACTCAAAAAAATAGATTTTGTCATTTGGGAGTTGTAGTTGCTGGGATTTATAGTTCACCTACAATCAAAGAGCATTCTGAACTCCACCAATGATGGAATTGAACCAAACTTGGCACACAGAACTCCCATGACCAACAGAAAATACTGGAAGGGTTTGGTGGGCAGTGTCCTTTGGTTTTGGAGTTGTAGTTCACCTACATCCAGAAAGCACTGTGGACTCAAACAATGATGGATCTGGACCAAACTCTACACGAATACTCAATATGCCCAAATGTGAACACTGGTGGAGTTTGGGGAAAATAGAATCTTGACATTTGGGAGTTGTAGTTGCTGGGATTTATAGTTCACCTACAATCAAAGAGCATTCTGAACCCCACCAATGATGGAATTGAACCAAACTCGGCACACAGTTCTCCCATGACCAACAGAAAATACTGGAAGGGTTTGGTAGGCAGTGTCCTTTGGTTTTGGAGTTGTAGTTCACCTACATCCAGAGATCACTGTGGACTCAAACAATGATGGATCTGGACCAAACTCTACACGAATACTCAATATGCCCAAATGTGAACGCTGGTGGTGTTTGGGGAAAATAGAATCTTGACATTTGGGAGTTATAGTTGTTGGGATGTATAGTTCACCTACAATCAAAGAGCATTCTGGCCTCCACCAATGATGGAATGGACCAAATTGGCACACAGAACTCACATGGCCAACAGAAAATACTGGAAGGGTTTGGTGGGCATTGACCTTGAGTTTTGAAGTTGTAGTTCACCTACATCCAGAGAGCACTGTGGACTCAAACAATGATGGATCTGGACCAAACTCTACAGAATACTCAATATGCCCAAATGTGAACACTGGTGGTGTTTGGGGAAAATAGAATCTTGACAGTTGGGAGTTGTAGTTGTTGGGAGGTATAGTTCACCTACAATCAAAAAGCATTCTGACCTCCACCAATGATGGAATGGAAACAATCTTGGCACACAGTTCTCCCATGACCAACAGAAAATACTGGAAGGGTTTGGTGGGCAGTGTCCTTTGGTTTTGGAATTGTAGTTCACCTACATCCAGAGAGCACTGTGGACTCAAACAAGGATGGATCTGGACCAAACTCTACACGAATACTCAATATGCCCAAATGTCAACACTGGTGGAGTTTGGGGAAAATAGAATCTTGACAGTTGGGAGTTGTAGTTGCTGGGATTTGTAGTTCACCTACAATCACAGAGTATTCTGAACCCCACCGACGATAGAATTGGGCCAAGCCGCCCACACAGAACCCCCATGACCACCAGAGTGGGCCACAGCAACATGTGGCAGGGGACGACTAGTGTATATATATATATATATATATATAAGTTAAAGTATTATTTGTACCACAAAGGCTACTGCTAGGTGAAGTGGCCCTCTGTGATGTCACCGGGGGGAAAGGTGGCACGTGTATGAGGGAAAGGGAGTCTAAACCTGTCCTCTCAATATGGAAGGGCGTTGGGTGACTGAGCAAAAGGAACTTGTTTTCCTAGCCACTTGTTTAAAAAATGCGGAGCTTCCCTCTCCGCGGACGGGAGCGCTTCCTTTGTGATGTCACGGAGCAGATTGTGACATCAAAACGCGGACGGGAGATTATCCGCGCAGCCCAACCCGCCCTTGCGCCGAGGTGAAGGGCAGCGGCATCGGGAGGCTTGCTAATCTTCCCCGCGAAGCTGGATGGAGAGAACGACTCAATTAACCTCCGACTCCATTGAAGAGGTCCGAGCGAGCTGGCTCATAATATCCTCCTGATGAAAACATCCATCAGGATCTATTCTGAGACTCTGCTAAAGCATATTCGTAAGAGGCTTGTTATATATTTAACAGTTTCGCCCTTCGGGTTGAAGGTGGAGGGAAGGAAGGAAGACGCTTTAGATCGATCACGTCTGGATGGACGCACACATCCCATCCAAAACTGCTCGTTTTCGAAGGTATTTTTGCTTATGAGTTGATGGCTTCTGCTGAGCAGCGCGGTGTAGTAGTTAGTGTTAAACACAGTCTCGTTTTTAGTCTACATTAAGCTTAAAAACCAGATTTTTTAAATAAATAAAACAACATATTGGGAATACTGTTTAATGTTTTTTTATTTATCTTATGTTTTATGTATACTGATTTGTTGGAAACCGCCTTGAGAAAAGCGGTATACAAACACAGCAAATAATTCTATGTATATAATAAAAGTCAGTGTTTGTATGCGGAGGGAGGGTAGTGTAAGTGGCAGCTTTCTGATTGGCTGCTACTTTCACAGGCCACTGTGACAACCATGGGTGACAGACCTGGACCAAACTTGGCACACATGACCCCCATGACCCCCTTTACGTCCTGGTGAGGACAAAGGGTTATGGGATTTGTAGTACTTTCAAACCCATCGGTTCCCACAGACCACTGTGCCCCCCAACAAAGACCAAACCTGGCACACAGAGCCCCCATGACCCACTCTACATCCTACTGCGGTTTGGAGGAGGTCTGACCATGGATGATGGGACTTGAAGTACCTCCACTCACTTCCCGAGACAGCTGCAACCCTCATCCAATGACCAATCAAGACCAAACTTGGACACATAACCCCCATGACCCTCTTTACGTTCTGGTGAGAGTTGGGGGAGGATGGACAATGGATTATGGGATTTGTACTACTTTCCAACCCTTTTGTACCCACAGATGACTGCGGCCCCTGACAAAGACCGATAAAGACCAAACTTGGCACCCAAAGTCCCCATGACCCACTTGAAGTACCTCCACTCGTTTCCCGAGACCACTGTGACACTCATCCAATGACTGATCAAGACCAAACTTGGCACGCAGAGCCCCCATGACCCACTCTACATCCTGCTGCAGTTTCGAGGAGGATGGACCACAGATGATGGGACTTGAAGTATCTCCACTCGCTTCCCGAGACTGCTGCAACCCTCATCCAATGACTGATCAAGACCAAGCTTGGCACACAGAGCCCCCATGACCCATTCTACATCCTGGTGCGGTTTGGAGGATGGACCACAGATGATGGGACTTGAAGTACCTTCACTCACTTCCCAAGACCGCTGCGAACCTCATCCAATAACTGATCAAGACCAAACTTGGCATACAGAGCTCCCATGACCCACTCTACATCCTGGTGCTGTTCCGAAGACGATGGACCATGGACGATGGGACTCGCAGTACCTTCACTAACTTCCTTAGAGCACTGCAAGCCACATAAATAACTGATAAAGACCAACCTTGGCACACAATGCCTTTCTCAAATTACCCGGGCAGCACTGGGTCCCAAAGCTAGTAAATAATAAATAAAAGCCCGAGCTAAAGAAACAACCTGGAAAAACATATCAAAGAATGAAGCTCAATGGTCTAAGATGAGACAAGGATAGCTCAGGCCAAGAACAGTTCAAAGGGCAAGATGAGACAGGCTTGGTACAAGGTGCATTCATTAAAGATGTCCCCTGTATTCGACAATGTATAGGGTTGAGTTAGAACTGGTCATTTTCAAAGGCTTGTTGAAACCACCAGGTCTTCAAGCTCTTACGAAAGGAGGGGAGGGATGGGGCCTGTCTTATTTCCCTTGGAAGGGCATTCCAGAGGCGGGGGGCCACCACCGAGAAGGCCCTCTCTCTCGTCCCCACCAACCGCACTTGAGACAGTAGTGGGACCGAGAGGAGGGCCTCCCCAGAAGATCGTGCCGGTTCAAAGAAGGAGATGCGATCGCGGAGATAGGCGGGGCCCAAACCATTTAGGGCTTTATAGGTCATGACCTGCACCTTGAATTTGGCTAGGCAACTATTAAAACAGCCAATGAAGCTGTTTTCATAGGGGTGTTGTATTCCACTTCAGCACCTGTCACATCAAGACCGTTCTCGGTTCTGAGTTGTAAATTGGCACGTAACCTATAGAGACATATAGCATGACACGTGCAGTTTCAGCATCCTGTGATAAATAGAAGTGGGTCAAGGGACATCTTTCATGAACGCCCCTCGTAAATGATGCGTAAGGGGGTCAAACAGTTGTGGTGGTTCCTGTAAAGGAAGCCCTACATTCCTCTTCCTGACGCACTCGTCATCTGAGGAGTCAAAGAGAAGGCACTCACTCGCACACAAAGGTCCCCAATGGAATGTCTTGCATCGTCCGCACGCCCCAGCCCATGTTCCTCGTCCGGAAAAGCTGTAACCGAGCCCTGAAAGAGAGGGAAAACACAGCTCCTTGAGTATATTAGGCAGCCCATGTTGGAAATAGCAGCCTTCCAAGGAGGTGGATAATTCTAACAGAGAGGAGGAAACCATCAAAACGAACAAAATCTGGCTCCCAGTATTTAAACAAATCTAAAATCAGACAGTAAATAAAGAACAACACGCAGTAAATAAAGGAATCGGGACAGTAAATAAAGAACAATGCTCAGAAAACAGGGGAATTTCAGACAGGAAACAATCAGGGCCAGCTAAACCTCCCAAAAAGGATTTCCCCAGGCAGGAAGCAGCCAGGCTTTGAAGCTGCAAGGTTATTCAATGCTAATAATCTCCGGGGTGTGGTGCTCATCTCTATTTATAAGCCAAAGAGCCGGCATTGTCTGTAGACGCTTCCAAGGTCATGTGGCCAGCATGACTGCACGGAGCGCCCTTACCTTCGCACTGGAGCGGTACCTATTGATCTACTCACATTTGCATGTTTTCGAACTGCTAGGTTGGCAGAAGCTGGGGCTGACAGCGGACGCTCACGCCACTCCCCGGATTTTTTTAATATATATGACCTTTCCCTTCCCATGTTTGTAAGTCTCTGCAAATCCTACATATATTGATAAATATATTTCTGTATATCTCTCTGTGTCTATGCATGTGTGTGTGGGTGCGTATAATTTTATATATGAATTTTCCCCTCACATTTTTGCAAGTTTTTGCAAATTCTATATAGATATAATTCTCTCTATATAGAGATGTGTGTGTGTGTGTGTGTGTGTGTGTGTGTGTGTATAGGTAAAGGTAAAGATTTTCCCCTGAGATGAACTACAGTTGCATCCGACTCTGGGGTTGGTGCTCATCTCTATTTCTAAGCCGAAGAGCCGGCGTTGTCTGTAGACACCTCCAGGGTCATTTGGCCATCGGCATGACTGCATGGAGCGCTCTTACCTTCCCATTGGAGCAATACCTATTGATCTACTCACATTTGCATGTTTTCGAACTGCTAGGTTGGCAGAAGCTGGGGCTGACAGTGGATGCTCACGCCGCTCCCCGGATTTGAACCTGCGACCTTTCGGTCAACAAGCTCAGCGCTTTAACCCACTGCACCACCGGGGGCTCAGTTGGGACCACCTTTACTGGCTATTATTATTATTATTATTATTAGTCCTGATTTTAGATACTAGTAGTCAGATTTTGTTCATTTTCATGATTTCCTCCTTTCTGTGGAAATCGTCCACATGCGTATGCTGATGCGCATACCTCAACAGACCTCATTTCAACAGAAAGGAGGGAACCATGAAAATGAACAAAATCTGGCTACCAGTATTAAAAAAAAACCTCCAAAATCAGTAGTGTAAACAAAGAACAACACTCAGAAAACAGGGAATTCCAGACAGGAAACAATCAGGGCCAGCTAACACCTGCCAACAAAAGATTCCCCCAGGCAGGAAGCAGCCAGGCTTTGAAGCTGCAAGGTTATTCAATGCTAATCAAGCTGGGCAACTGCAACATTCACACGTGCCTCCAACAGACGAGAGTTCTTTCTCCCACCCTGAACATTATTCCACAGGTATATAAACCCCCAAGAGGACAGGAGCAGAATTCAAAACCAAAACGATCTTAACAGATTAGAGACATGATTGGCCAAAACTAACAAAATGAAGTTCAATAGGGGCAAATGCAAGATACTCCACTTAGGCAGAAAAAAGGAAATGCAAAAATACAGATCTTGGGGTTCTCGTGGACAACAAGTTAAACATGAGCCAACAATGTGATGCGGCGGCAAAAAAAACCAATGGGATTTTGGCCTGCATCAATAGGAGTCTAGTGTCTAGATCCAAGGAAGTAATGCTCCCCTTACTCTATTCTGCCTTGGTTAGACCACACCTGGAATACTGTGTCCAATTCTGAGCACCACAATTGAAGAGCGATATTGACAAGCTGGAATGTGACTAAAATGATCAAGGGTCTGGAGAATAAGCCCTATGAGGAGCGGCTTAAGGAGCTGGGCATGTTTAGCCTGAAGAAGAGAAGGATGAGAGGAGATATGATAGCCATGTATAAATATGTGAGAGGAAGCCACAGGGAGGAGGGAGCAAGCTTGTTTTCTGCTTCCCTGGAGACTAGGACGTGGAACAATGGCTTCAAACTACAAGAAAGGAGATTCCACCTGAACATTAGGAAAAACTTCCTGACTGTGAGAGCCGTTCAGCAGTGGAACTCTCTGCCCCGGAGTGTGGTGAGGCTCCTTCTTTGGAAGCTTTTAAACAGAGGCTGGATGGCCATCTGTCAGGGGTGCTTTGAATGCAATATTCCTGCTTCTTGGCAGAATGGGGTTGGACTGGATGGCCCAGGAGGTCTCTTCCAACTCTTTGATTCTATGATTCTATGAGTGCTGTTCCTCCAAAAAGAGGTTTGCTGCAGTTCTTTGAATCCAGCCCTCGCTTAAAAGTGCTTCAAATACATGCAGATCTTCACAGCGACACTTGTGTGCATCTCCATCGGCATTATCATCACTTTCAGACAGCAGCGCTTCACCCCTCGCCCCCAGTTTTGCCAAAAGTAGTGTTTGGCTCATTCGTCATCCATCATTCATATTCATGCGCGCACACAAATAGCAAGCTTGCCATGCCGAGCTATGATGACTATGGAGCCCAAATCGGGGCTGTAGAGGAAGGAGAGGGCGGTGTAGACATACTCGGGGGAGCTGTAGGTTTGCAACATCATCATCTAAGAAAATCTGGGGGACCAAAAAGGCACGGAATCACTCCCACATATCGAACAGCAGCATGACCATCGTGAGTGATGACAAAACGCTGAGTGCCTGGAGTTGGTGGCATTTTGGGAAAGGATAACTTGGGCAGTTTAGTAGACTAAAAAGCACTTTTTGGCTGGCTTTGAGAGTATGAACCTTTGCATTCTATAGAATTAGTAAATCCCAAGCTAAAATGCAAAGGATTCCCCCAGGCAAGAAGTAGCCACATTTTGAAGCTGCAAGACCATTCAATGCTAATCAAGGTAGCCAATGGCAACATTCACACTTGCCTCCAACAGATAAGAGTTCTTTCTCCCACCCTGAACATTCCAGAGATATAAATATATAGTTTCCAACAGACCTCATAATAACTGAGGATGTCGGACATAGATGTGGGCCAGACGTCAGGAGAGAATGCTTCTGCAACATAACCATACAGCCTGGAAAACTCACAGCAACCCATGTTTACATGGTCACGGAAAATAATTTAAGTTAAGGAAGTCAAAAACAATGGTTCCTTACAGGAAGAAAAACAAGATCTGTGTTGTTGAAGGCTTTCACGACCGGAATCAGTGGGTTGCTGTGAGTTTTCCAGGCTGTGTGGCCAGGTTCCAGAAACATTCTCTCCTGACATTTTGCCCACATCTATGGCAGGCATCCTCAGAGGTTGTTTCATGTCAAGAATTCTCCTGTTTTCAGAATGTTGTTTCTAATTAACTGTCCTAAAACAATATCTGTCAAGAATTGATGGAGTTTTAGCAAGCCTTAGCTGCTGGTCGCTACACAAATGACCAGCCACTGCCAGAAGGGACAGAAAGTTTCATCTATGCTGATGATCATGCCATGACCACTCAAGCAGGGAGCTTTGAGATGGCTGAACAGAAGCTCTCAGAAGCTCTAGGTGCTCTTACTGCCTATTACAGGGAAAACTGATCCCTAATCCATCTAAAATACAGACATGCGCTTTTCACCTTAAGAAAAAGACAAGCATCCCAAGCTCTGAGGATTACCTGGGAAGGAATCCCACTGGAGCATTGCAGTGCACCCAAGTACCTGGGAGTCACTCTGGACCGTGCTCTGACCTATAAGAAGCACTGCCTGAACATTAAGCAAAAAGTCGGTGCTAGAAACAATATCATACGAAAGCTGACTGGCACAACCTGGGGATCGCAACCAGACACAGTGAAGACATCTGCCCTTGCGCTATGCTACTCTGCTGCTGAGTATGTATATCCAGTGTTGAATACATCTCACCACACTAAAACAGTAGATGTGACTCTGAATGAGACATGCCGCATTATCACGGGATGTCTGCGCCCTACACCACTGGAGAAATTATACTGCTTAGCTGGTATTCCACCACCTGACATCCGCTAGGAAGTAGCAACCAATAGTGAAAGGACCAAGGCAGAGACATCTCCAGCTCATCCCCTGTTTGGGTATCAGCCAGCACGTCAACGACTTAAATCAAGAAATAGTTTTCTAAGATCTACAGAGACACTCACTGGAAGACCTCAGCAAGCGAGAGTCCAAAAGTGGCAGGCTCAAACCCAGAACCTCAACCCATGACTGATACCAAATGAGAGACTCCCACCTGGGCACACAGAAGACTGGGCAACTTGGAAGGCGCTGAACAGACTGCGCTCTGGCACCACGAGATGCAGGGCCAACCTCAAGAAATGGGGCGACAAAGTGGAATCCTTGACATGCGAGTGTGGAGAAGAGCAAACCACTGACCACCTGCTGCAATGCACCCTGAGCCCTGCCACATGCACAATAGAGGCAACACCAGAGGCACTACAAGTGGCCAGATACTGGTCAAAGGACATTTAATCAGCTACCAAGCTTGCAAACTTTGTGTTTTGTTTGTTTGTTTGTTAAAAATGCAATACAACTGTTTGGCTTGCTCCTGACACGATAAATAAATAGCAAGACTTAGCTGAATAACAAGTTGTCAATCAATCCAGGGAAACAACAGCAAGAACACAGAAATGCTGGACCACTCTCACAACCACCATGTCAGACTACACAGAGAAGCCACTGAAATCCACAAGTATTTGGACAATTTCAACAGAAAGGAGGAAACCATGAAAATAAACAAAATCTGGCTACCAGTATTAAAAAAACTCAAAAATTACAACACCACAACAGAGAGGAAACAAACAAGGACATCTAAGGCAGTGCTCCAGGCACTGCCAGGCAATCAAATGCTAATCAAGGTGGTCAGTTGAAACATTCACACCTAGCTCCAGCAGACAAGAGTCCTTTGCCCCACCCTGGTCATTCCACAGATATATAACCACTTATTCCTAGTTCCAACAGACATCACTACGTCTGAGGATGCTTGCCGTAGATGCAGGCGAAACGTCAGGAGAGAATGCCTCTAGACCATGGCCATATAGCCCGAAAAAACCTACAACAACCCAACAGCAAGAAATTGCGACATAAGAAGACCCTTTTCCTCTTGGAAAAGTGTGGGGAATGCAGAGCCTGTCCACCCGCTGCCTTTTTTTCCAAGATCGCCTGAATTCAGAAGGTGGTGAGTATGCATGTGATTGAACGGATGGAAGTGAATGCTGAGTAAATGTGAATGTTTCCCCTTTGTCTGTGTAATCAACACCGGGTCTGCGAGTCTACTTCTTCCCCTGAAAGTGCCTAAGGCAATATGTCCCATTGAAAATGGATTAAAGACTATTTTAGAGGTTAGACAAGTATTCATGACTCATAGAGCTAGGAACATCCAAAAAAGAGAGAACGCAGTCGCCTCACCGGAGCCCGTCTTGGACCACGCGGTTCCGGCAGGTCCTCCAACAGGAACAGGCGTGGTTACACTCAAAGATCAAAGGAGGCTCGGCTGTGTTGAATTCTGGCAAGAGACGACCATCCTGCTTGGAAGAGAAACAAGGAAAGTGAGTTCTCTGGGGATGGAGAGGTTCCCTTCAAACAAGAACCCAAGGCATCCACCCCACCCAGTTGCAAATTTTAGTCTTGAGAGGTAAATGTTTCCCCCTGACATTAGGTCCAGTCGTGTCCGACTCTGGGGGGTTGGTGCTCATCTCCATTTCCATGCCAAAGAGCCAGCGTTGTCCATAGACACCTACAAGGTCATGAGGCCAGCATGACTGCATGGAGTGCCGCTACCTTCTCATTATTAGGTAAATGTAAAGGTTTTCCCCGGCATTAAGTCCAGTCGTGTCAGACTCTGGGGGTTGGTGCTCATCTCCATTTCCAAGTGGAAGAGCCAGCGCTGTCCATAGACACCTCCAAGGTCATGTGGGGGGAATGACTGCATGGAGCAGTGTTTCTCAACCTGGGGGTCGGGACCCCTGGAGGGGTCGCGAGGGGGTGAAGAGGGGTCACTGAAGACCATCAGAAAATGCTGAGTAAATGTGTATTTTCTGTTGGTCGTGGGGAATCTGTGTGGGAAGTTTGGCACAATTCTATTGTTGGTGCTCTTTGATTGTAGGTCAACTACAACTCCCAAATGTCAAGATTTATTTCCCCCAAACTCCACCAGTATTCACATTTGGGCATATTGATTATTTGTGCCAAGTATGGTCCTGATCCATCATTGTTCAACTCCACAGTGCTCTCTGGATGTAGGTGAACTACAACTCCAAAACTCAAGGTCAATGCCCACCAAACCCTTCCAGTTTTTTCTGTTGGTCATTGAAGTTCTGAGTGCTAAGTTTGGTTCAATTCCATTGTTGGTGGAGTTCAGAATGTTCTTTGATTGTAGGTGAACTATAAATCCCAGCAATTACAACTCCCAAATGACAAAATCAACCCCCCCACCCCACCCCAGTAGTATTCAAACTCGGGTATATTGGGTATTTGTGCCAAATTTGGTTCAGTCAATGAAAATACACCAGATATTTACATTACTATTGATAACAGTAGCAAAACATACAGTTATGAAGTAGCAACAAAAATGTTTGGGGGGGGGGTCACCACAACATAAGGGGTCGTGGCATTAGGAAGGTTCAGAAACACTGGCATGGGGCGTAGTTACCTTCCCCCTATTGATCTACTCACATTTGCATGTTTTCAATCTGCTAGGTTCGCAGTAGCTAGAGCTAACAGCGGGAGCTCATTCTGCTCCCTTGATTCGAATCTGCAACTTTTCGGTCAGCAAGTTCAGCAGTTTAACCCACTGCACAACCAGGGACTCTTGAGATGGGTAACTCTTAATTATGCTTTCATTTTGATGTGCGACTGACTTCGTCCCGTTGTATATGCCTGTGTTGTGATTATGTTTCTGTATGACAATAAAAGCTGTGTGTGTGGTCCCCTAAATTCCTTCTGGACAGCAACACAAAGCAACACTCTCATGTTTCGTCTCTCTGTTGTATGGGACCACAGCTCACACAACACCATGTAACAAAATTTGGAAAATGCTCTTTTTCTGGTTTGAAAGTGTGGTTTTCTGTTTCGTTGCGTGGCCGTTATTTTGGAAAGGGTTAGTGATCAGCCATTGCCAGAAGGGATAGAGAGTTTCATCTATGCTAACGACGGTGCCATCACCACTCAAGCGGGGAGCTTTGAAATAGTTGAACAGAAGCTCTCCAAAGCTTTAGGTGCTCTTACTGTCCATTACAGGGGAAACCGGCTGATTCCTAATCCATCTAAAATGCAGACGTGTGCTTTTTACCTCAAGAACAGACAAGCATCTCGCGCTCAAAGGATTACCTGGGAAGGAACCTCATTGGAGCATTGCAGCACACCCAAATACCTGGGAGTCACTCTGGACTGTGCTCTGACTTACAAGAAACACTGCTTGAATATAAACAAAAAGCAAGTGCTAGAAAAAATATCATATGAAAGCTGATTGGCACAACCTGGGGATCACAACCAGATACAGTGAAGACATCTGTCCTTGCGCCTGGCTACTTTGCTGCTGAGTAGACATGCCCAGTGGGGAACATATCTCACCTCGTTTTTTGCATGATACTTAAGTCTGTTAAACACAGAGATAACAGCCCCCTTTAAAGCTACAAACTATGCAGAATACTTACCCGGTCGTACCAGCAGCGCATACTTAGTTGTCCGCACATGCATTTACTGGAGGAGCAGTCATCTATGCACACACAGTACTATACAAATGGGAAGGAGAAGCAGAAAACATGGATTACTTTGAATGTTGGGTAAGGAGCCAATGGTAAGGGTGAACTTAGATCAGTCATGGGCATATATATTTGTATATATTTGTGTATATGTGTGTTTCTGTGTATATATATATAGTTTTGTGAATGCGTTGTAATGTAATTTTTGGTTTTTGGCTTTTTAAGCCTCTTCCGCTGTGTTTCTCAGTGTTTTTATGAGTGAAGGTCACTCCTTGGCCTGAGAGGTGTCTTGTGTCCAAATCTGGTGTCAGTTCGTCCATTGGTTTTTGAGTTATGTTAATCCCACAAACGAACATTAATTTTTATGTATATAGATATAATATAATGTAATATAATATATGGCATATACATATATTTATGATATTATAATGTAATACAATATAATACTAATAATATATTATAATTATATATCTTACATTGCATGTAATATTACTAATAATATTACAATGTAATGGTGTAGTACAATATAGTAATATATAATATTGATATTGCACTATGATAATTATATAATATATTGTATGTATATATATCCTGTAAGCCGCTCTCAGTCCCCTTTCGGGGTAAGAAGGGTGGCATCTGAATGTCGTAAATAAATCTATATAAATAAAAATGTAATAAAAATACATTACAATGCATGTGCAAAACCACATATATATACAGAAATACACATATATACACACAAAACACATACACAGAAAGGGGGAAGGAAGGAAGGAAGGAAGGAAAGAGAGAGAGAAGGAGAGAGAGAAGGAGAGAGAGAAAGAGAAAAAGAATGAGGGAAGAAGAGAAGGAAGGAATGAAAGAAGGGTAGAGAAGGAAGGAAGGAAAGGAAGGAAAGAAAGAAAGGTAGAGAAGGAAGGAAGGAGAGTAGGAGCGAGAAAAAGAGGGAAAGAAGGAGGGAAGGAGAGAAGGAAAGAAAGGAAGAAGGGTAGAGAAGGAAGGAAGGAGAGTAGAAGCGAGAAAAAGAGGGAAAGAAGGAGGGAAGGAGAGAAGGAAGGAATGAAAGAAGGATAGAGAAGGAAAGAGAGAAGGAAGGAAAGAAAGAAAGGTTAAGAAGGAAGGAAGGAGAGAAAGTGGGAAAGAAGGAGGGAAGGAGAGAAGGAAAGAAAGGAAGAAGGGTAGAGAAGGAAGGAAGGAGAGTAGAAGCGAGAAAAAGAGGGAAAGAAGGAGGAAGGAGAGAAGGAAAGAAAGGAGAAGGAGAGAAGGAGAGGAAGAGGAGGAGAGAAAGAGGGAAGAAGGAGGGAAGGAGAGAAGAGAAAGAAAGAGAAGGTAGAGAAGGAAGGAGAGAAGGAGAGAAGGAGGGAGAGAAAGAGGAAGGAGAGAAGGAAAAGAAGAAAGAAAGAAGGGTAGAGAAGGAAGGAGAGAAGGAGGGAGAGAAAGAGGGAAGGAGAGAAGGAAAGAAAGAAAGGTAGAGAAGGAAGGAGAGAAGGAAATAAAGAAGTGAAAGAGGAAAGGAAGGAGAGAAGGAATGATTGAACCAAAGAGCAAAGAAAGCGAGAAAAGAAATTGGTAGAGAAAGAAGAAGGGAAAGAAAAAGAGGGAGGGAGGGAAGGAGAGAAGGAGCGAAGGAGGGAAGGAGAGAAAGAAAGGAGAGAAAGAAGGAGAGAAAGTGAGAGGGAAGATTGGCCACAGCAACGTGTGGCAGGTACAGCTAGTAAATGAATAAATAAATCCTGCATGTCCGATATTTACGTGACGATTCCTAACAGTAGCAAAATTACAGTTTTATAAAGTAGCAACGGGAATAATGTTGTAGTTGGGGGTCAGCACAACATGAGGAAGTGTATTAAGGGGTGATGGCATTAGGAAGGTTGAGAAACACTGTTCTTAGGGTTTCCAATTCCAACGTTTGCCAGAGGAGAGTAGCCTCGTTTATCCCAAGAGGAGGAAACGAAAACAAGGGGAAGAAGGAACAAAGGCAAAGGCAGCTGCAAAAGAGCTGGTCTCAACCTGCAAATGGGTGATGTTCCTGTCGATGTTCATTGGGGAAGTCACACAGTTCTGGGAGACGTATTTGTAGTTACTAGGACAGGGCTCGCTGTCGACGGCGTTGATGCACGGGATGGGGATCCGCTCGTAACCCCGGGCGATGTCTCTGCCACAGCGGGAGAGAAGGAAATAATCACTTTAAGGCTATGACGGAGGAAGAGAAAGAGACAGAGTCACAAAGGGAGGTACATATACGGACTCAAAGAGCGCATGGACTCCTAAAGAGCGCTCCCCTTCCTTCCTTCCATCTATCCATCCAGATAACAGGGATACTGATTGAGAAAAACACACCTCGCACCGAGAATCCTGGAAATTTCCCAGTCCATATTGACTCTGCTGTCAGAGACGTTACAAAAAAGTTTTGGAAAGACGCTTTCAGACAGACAGTACAGTGAAGACAGGGGCAAATAGTGATGCACGGTCTTTCATACTTGCTCAGGATCTTCTCCAACTGGACCGGTTTGTCAGGAGAGGACTCTTTGAGGGTCTTGTTCATCTGCAGGGCCACCCAGACTTGAGAATTGAGGCTGGAACACTGTAACGGTGTCTCCCCCTCCTTATTCTTCAGGGTGACGTCTGAGCCACGAGACAGAAAGAGGCTGCAAGGCAGAATAATAATAGTATTATTATCGTTATTTTATTTCTTACCCACCTCTCCTCGTGGCGGGTTACAGAATAATTAAAACACATACAGGGAAGACATCTGCCCTTGTGCTATGCTACTCTGCTGCTGAGTATGCATGCCCAGTGGGGAACACATCTCACCACGCTAAAACAGTAGATGTGGCTCTTAATGAGACATGCCACATTATCACGGGATGTCTGCGCCCTACACCACTGGAGAAATTACACTGCTTAGCCGGTATTGCACCACCTGACATCCGCCAGGAAGTAGCAGCCAATAGTGAAAGGGCCAAGGCAGTGACATCTCCAGCCCATCCCTTGTTTGGGTATCAGCCAGCACGTCAACAACTTAAATCAAGAAATAGTTTTCTAAGATCTACAGAGACACTCGCTGGAACACCTCAGCAAGCGAGAGTCCAAAAGTGGCAGGCTCAAACGCAGAACCTCAATCAATGGCTGATACCAAATGAGAGAATTGTCAGGATTTATTGAGGTATGTTTGTGTTTTAAATGTGCTTCTTTGTATTACAAATATGGATGCCATTGAGAATGGAAAAGGCTGTGCTGAAATGTTTAGAGTTGAGGCTGTGATTATGTGAACTTGAGAACTTGAGATAAGCTGTGTTCTGATGAGAATTTCTAGGGAGTTGCCAACTTGAAGCTAGAGAAAGATAAACAAACTTGACAAGACTCCCCCCTGGGCACACAGAAGACTGGGCAACTTGGAAGGCGCTGAACAGACTGCGCTCTGGCACCACGAGATGCAGGGCCAACCTTCAGAAATGGGGCTGCAAAGTAGAATCCACGACATGCGAGTGCGGAGAAGAGCAAACTATTGACCACCTGCTGCAATGCACCCTGAGCCCTGCCACATGCACAATGGAGGACCTCCTTGTGGCAACACCAGAGGCACTCCAAGTGGCCAGATACTGCTCAAAGGACATTTAATCAACTACCAAGCTTGCAAACTTTGTATTTTGTCTGTTTGTTTGTTTTGTTCTGTTAGAAATGCAATACAATTGACTGGTTGCTCCTGACACGATAAATAAATAAATAAGCCGAATAACAAGTTGTCAATCAATCCAGGAAAACAACAGCAAGAAGTGGGCAGATACTGGTCAAAGAACATTTAATCAATGACCAAACTCACAAATTTTGCGTTTTGTCTGTTTGTTTGTTTGTTTGTTTTGTTCTGTTAGAAATGTAATACAATTGTCTGGTTGCCTGACGATAAATAAATAAATAAAATCTAGGGGTTAGTTTATTTCCTACTGTGTTCTTTGTCTTTATGATTGATTCTACTTAGCAAATCAACTCTATTTGATATGCCTCCATTTTCTTGGCATGTGACCGATTCGGCGGAAGGGAAAACCACCGCAAAAGGATAACGCAAAGATCCTCCCCCTGGACACAGAGGTGAGTGAGACTGAAAGAGGACCAACTGCTAGGGCCATACTTACACGACACACTCGTAGCGGTTCTCTCGAGCCGCGATGTGCAGGGGCGAATCCCCGTGGATGTTCACCGCGTGCAAGTCGCACTTGGCGGCCAGCAAGATCTCCGCGATGTCGACGCACCCCGAGAACGCCGCCCAGTGTAAACAAATGTTCTCCTCCTAGAAAGAGAGTGAGGGAAAGAGGGCTGTTTAAGGCACTGGGGGACTCCCTTTCCTTTTGGCAACCTTCATCTCTGGCAGTGTGTGGGAGGCCTTCTCCAAACAGCTCCGCCGCCGCCGCCTCCATGCTCCCCGAGGAGAAGCTGTGAGCGAGGGCTGCCCTACGCGCCTTATGAAGACAGATGAGTCATTTGCTCACATGCTACAACATGATCAGGACTGAGTCCGTAGGGAAAGGCCACCGACACGAAGAGAAGAAGCAAAAAAAAGGGCAGAAACCAGTTGGAAGGGGAGACATCCAGATAAAGAAAGCCAGCTCTGGAAAGGATAAAGCAGCAGAAACATACCTCCGGAATGTGACATACTTTCCAATATTGTGACATGGCTCTCATGTCCCCTTCTCTCACCCTTCTCTTCTCCAAGCTAAACATGCTCAGCTCCCTAACGGTTTAGCACAGCTGGTAAATCACCAGCAATGATAAGATGTACCAACCGAAAGGATGCCAATTTGAAGCCCCGGGGTCGGCGTGAGCTGCCAACTGTCAAGCCTAGCTTACTGTTGACCTAAGCAGTTCAGGACCAGGTTGTGGTGCAGTAGGCTAGGAGTCAGCTGCATTAAATCACCACTGACCGAAAGGTCATGAGTTCGAAGCCAGCCCGGGTCAGAGTAAGCTCCTGACCATTTGTCTAGCTTGCTGTTGACCTTTGAAGCCCAAAAGACAGTTGCATCTGTCAAGTAGAACATTTAGGTATCGCTTATGTGGGGAAGAGCTGGTATTGGGTTGTTGTAGGGTTTTTGGTTTTTTTTGGCTGTATGGCCATGTTCTAGAGGCATTCTCTCCAGACATTTTGCCTGCATCTGTGGCAAGCATCCTCAGAGGTAGTGAGGTCTGTTGGAACTAGGAAAGGGTTTATATATCTGTGGAATGACCAGGGTGAGACAAAGGACTCTTGTCTGCTGGAGCTAGGTGTGAATGTTTCAATTGACCACCTTGATTAGCATATAATGGCCTGACAGAGCCTGGGGCAAACTTTTGTTGAGAGGTGATTAGATGTCCTTGTTTGTTTCCTCTCTGTTGTTGTGCTGCAATAAACCTACAACAACCCAGTGATTCCGGCCATGAAAGCCTTCAACAATATATTTATTTATTTATTTACAGTATTTGTATACCGCTTTTCTCACCCCAAGGGGGACTCAAAGCGGTTTACACATAAGTAATGGCAAAAATTCAATGCCAGTACAAACAATTTCAATTATACACTATAATTAGACATAAATCAAATTTTAAAAATGCATCCATGAGCAATAAAACAATCATTAAAACAATAAAACAGTCTCGTTTCGTTTATTTATTTACAACACCATAAAAATCTCCAGCAGAGGGCAAAAGAATGAGGAAGTACTCCGTCAAGGACTCGGTGTCACAAGCGGACTGTGAAGCAACAGCTCCCCCGGTGGACGAAATGCGAGCAAGCTCTCATGAAGCTTAAATTGCCTCTGTGTCTGTCTATATATGTTTTGTGTCTTTGGCACTGAATGTTTGCCATGTATATGTGAACTGTAATCCGCTCTGAGTCCCTTGTGGGGTGGGAAGGGGGGAATACAAATACTGGAAATAAATAAAGCTGTAATTAGAGAAATTAGGCACCTCGAAAACAATTTTACGAAGCCATAAAGATCAAAAAGATCAGAAAATGCCGGGCGAGTGAAAAGAAGGAGGAAGACCTGATGGCTCTTTGTCATAGAGGATGGAGCGACAGCACCCCCCTGTGGCTGGATTTGAGCACAACTTCCAAGGCGCCAAAAAGCTGGACATTGACGTCGACACAACATACCTCCTTTCTGTTTTGTCTGTCTCTGTATTGTCTATCCAAAATGGCACTGAATGTTTGCCGTTTATGTGTACTGTGATCCACCCTAAGTCCCCTTGGGGAGATATGGTGGAATATAAATAAAGTGTTATTACTATTATTATTATTATTATTTTAATAAATAATAATAATAATAATAATAATATAATAATAATAATAATAATAATAATAATAATAATAATAATAATGAATTTTATTATTACGGTTACAGAGCAGGAGTGTAAAACTTTAAAATATTAAAAACAGAGAGGTCTTTTAAAAAAAGCATTAACATGAAAAGCAGAAAGTCCACGAAATGGAGTCGATCTACACGGCTTCACATATGACGCTTATACAATCTGTGAGTATCTAATCCATAATAAAAGTGAAAATATTTGTGTGTGTGTGTGTGTGTGGCTGGGGTGTCTACTTATACAGACAGGCTCCCCTTTCCACAAAAAGCTATAGCTCCCACTACTCAGGAGACACCAAAGGTCCTCCCTCCAATGACATTGCAGGTTATAGCGAGCGCCATGGACATGTCCAAGAGCCCTACCAGTGTCCACCACCAACACCATACTGCCCAACAACTAATTGGACTGACTCAAATGCTTACATTGTCTCGGATGTTGATGTCGGACCCTTTGGCCAGGAGCAGCTTCACCAACTCGACATGTTTGTACTCAGTGGCCCAGATCATTGGTGTCCAGCCTCCGTCGTCCTGGGAACATAAGGAAAGACAAGCCTGCTTGGAACCAACAACAATCCAACCTAAGAGGGACAGCAAAGAGCTGACACTTCCACAAACAAAGCACAATGACAAGAACAAAATCACAGTGTTGCATAGTATAATGGAGCCCATTGGGATTCTTTTAAGGTCATATTCCAGTTTGTTGTCTGAACGTCACAGCACACAATATGCCTTCAAAATTCAGCAGGCAGTACAGGATCCTAGATTCAACAAAGTTATTGTAGCCTGGCAAAAGCCAGACACTTCTGGGGAAGAAGGGTTTCAAGATGAAGTGTCTGGATGTGTTCAGGGAGATCTGTGAGCATTCAGGGAGATTTGCAGACAGATCAGCCTGACTTCGGCCAATGCTGTGCATACCAGGGAAAGTAAAACTGAAGTTTCCCTGGAGAAAAGTCCTTGTGAAGACAAGGAGGGTGAAGAGATCATGAAAAATAGACAGATCAAGGCTTCCCGGAGCCTTACAGATAAGGCCTTAAAATCCAGGTGCTACAGACATGACTTCATGGGAGCTTGGATGGGCTTAAATTAGATGCCTATGTACCTTGGAAGAGTTTTTGCCTGGAAGCGTTTGCTACGTTCTTGGATTTACCTTGTATTATTTCGATTATTTATGAATTTCTAATTCCTGTGATGTTTTCTGAAATACTTTGATTGAACTCTGACTCATTTTATACATTGCTTGTTATTTCCTAATTGCAACTTTTGGATAAAACCCCTTTTTTCCCTTTTATATTCTTTCTTCAATGATTATTTGGACTACTGGCCTTTGGTGTCATGCTGGCTGAGGGGTGTCTCAATACCAGGGTGCCACATTTATCTTTTGCTGGTCTCGGGGTATTGGACGTTGTGTATGTATATGCCAGCAACATGTGCAAATTCTTGCATGGGTCTAGGTAGGGATGTGTGCAATTCCTTGCCTTCCTTAAAGCGTGGGTTGTGTGGGCAGGGCTTTACCTGGCAGTTGACATCCATTTCTTCGTTGGTCAGGAGATACTGCACCACGTCATAATGGCCCTTCTTAGCTGCCAGGTGCAAACAGGTCGACCCTTCCGCATCCTGGAAAAGAAGCCAACGGTGAGACAAAGGTATCACCAGATGAGAGACTCCCTCCTGGGCACACAGAAGACTGGGCAACTTGGAAGGCATGGAACAGACTGGTTTTTGTTGTTGTTGTTTTGTTGTTGTTGTTGTTGTTTTGCTGTTCAACTTTTATATAAACTCCATAGTGGACCAGCTTCAAAATATGGACTTCCACCCCCCAAAGCTGGCGGGAAGACACATCTCCATCCTGCTTTATGCAGATGATGCTGCTGTACTCTCTAGAACACCCATTGGGCTCAAAAGAGCTCTGAGAGCATTAATACAACATTGCAACACAGATCAGCTCCAACTTAATTACAATAAAACCAAAATCATGGCTTTTGCTAATAGACCCAGGACTTACTCTTGGATTAGTAAAGGTAAAGGTTTTCCCCTGACATTAAGTCCAGTCGTGTCCGACTCCGGGGGTTGGTGCTCACCTCCATTTCTAATCCGAAGAGCCGGGATTGTCTGTAGACACTTCCAAGGTCATGTGGGCAGCATGACTGCATGGATTGCTGTTACCTTCCTGCCAGAGTGGTACCTATTGATCTACTCACATTTGCATGTTTTCGAACTGCTAGGTTGGCAGAAGCTAGGGCTGACAGCGGAAGCTCACGCCGCTCCCCGGAATCGAACCTGCGACCTTTCGATCAACAAGCTCAGTAGCTCAGTGCTTTAACCCACTGCACCACCGGGGGCCTTGAGCATAGATGGTCATAAAATTGAACAAGTTACATCCTTCAAATATCTAGGTGTAGTTTTCCAATCTAATGGTAGCAGTATCCAACACCGCGCAGGGGAGCTCAATTGCCATTCTTAAATATCTTAAGTCAAGAGGGGGCCACTTCACACCGGCAGCGCTCAAGCTGTTTGAAGCCAAGTCATTAGCCCAACTCTTGTATGGTGCTCAGCTGGGCCCCTTCCCCAGTTTTGCCCCATTAGAGCTGGTTCAGTCAAAGTTTCTGAGATTGGCCTTGCAGGTCCCTAAATGCGTTTCTAATGCCACCCTGCGACTAGAGACGGGCTTTATGAGAGTGGAGGCCAGGGTGTGGGTGGCCATACTCAACCTCTGGCTCAGACTATCCCGTGCACCCTTTGGTCTTGCCCCACTAACCATGAAGGATGACTTCCAATCCACATGGAAGCAGGCGGTAGCATCCAAAATCTCCTCATTGGGATTTTCTCCAGGTCTACTATTAGCTATGGATTACAATCAAGCCAAAGCACTTATTAAACAACGTATCACAGACACAGAGCGCCAACTAGATCTGGCCTCGGCTCCAACCTTCCTTATCAGTGAAGACAGCAGATACCTTGCCTCCCCATGGCATATTTAACAAACTTAGAGGTTCCCATTCATCGAAGGGCTTTCACCCTGGCTCGATGCCACGCTCTCTCCCATCAGCTGTACTCGAAGGAAGGCCGCTACTGGAAGATCCCTTTCCCAGAGAGACTCTGCCCCTGTGACTCGGGTCATGTAGAAACAATAGAGCATGTGCTCCTTCAGTGCCCGTTCTACAGGATATCCGTGCCAGGCTTTTCTTACCTCTGATAGACAAGCACCCAGGCCATTCAGGACAATTTTATACCTCCCTGCTACTTGCAGATATTAATTCAGCTACAACCTACAATGTTGCAAAGTTCTGTGCAGCAGCATACAAAATCCATCAGGGAATGACTAGTCCCAAAAGTTAACTGTGTGTCCAGTAATCTTCTTCTCTGAATCTACAATTTGGTGATGGATCTGGGCATTGTATGTTTTTACCCTGTTTCCCCTTCCTTTCCGCTCCCTCACCCATATTGTGCTTCAGTAGTTATATTTATATTTTTAATGTACCAAACATACCAAGTTTGTATGAAAATGTGACTCTATTTCCTGTGCTGGTCTATGACCGAAATAAATGATTTGATTTGATTTGTCATGTCAGGAGCGACTTGAGAAACTGTCACTTCATGTCGCTTCTGGTGTGAGAGAATTGGCCGTCTGCAAGGACATTGTCCAGGGGATGCCTGGATGTTTTGATATATTATCATCCTTGTGGGAGCTTCTCTCATGTCCTCGCATGGGGAGCTGGAGCTGATAGAGGGAACTCACCCGCGCTCTCCCCAGATTCGAATCTGTGACCTGTCGGTCTTCAGTCCTGCCAGCACAGGATTTTAACCCACTGCACCACCGGACCGTGCTCTGGCACCACAAAATATTGACAAGCTGGAATGTGTCCAGAGGAGGGCGACTAAAATGATCATGGGTCTAGAGAACAAACCCTATGAGGAATGGCTTAAAGAGCTGGGCATGTTTAGCCTGAAGAAGAGAAGGTTGAGAGGAGATATGATAGCCATGTAGAAATGTGTGAGAGGAAGTCACAGGGAGGAGGGAGCAAGCTTGTTTTTTGCTGCCCTGGAGACACAGAACAATGGCTTCTTAACTACAAGAAAGGAAATTCCATCTGAATATGAGGTAGAACTTCCTGACTGTGAGAGCCGTTCAGCAGTGGAACTCTCTGTCCTGGAGTGTGGTGGAGGCTCCTTCTTTGGAAGCTTTTAAATAGAGGCTGGATGGCCATCTGTCAGGGGTGCTTTGAATGCAATTTTCCTGCTTCTTGGCAGGGGGTTGGACTGGATGGCCCATGAGGTCTCTTCCAACTCTGATTCTATGAAATGCAGAGCTAACCTTAATAAATAGGGCTACAAAGTGAGGCCCATGACATTAATTACTTTTTTCTGTTGGTCATGGGGGTTCTGTGTGGGATGTTTGGCCCAATTCTGTTGTTGGTGGGGTTTGGAATGTTCCTTGATTGTAGGTGAACTATAAATCCCAGTAACTACAATTCCCAAATGTCAAGGTCTATTTCCCCCAAACTCCACCAGTGTTCACATTTGGGCATATTGATTATTCGTGCCAAGTTTGGTCCAGACCCATCATTGTTTGAGTCCACAGTACTCTCTAGATGTAGGTGAACTACAACTCTCAAACTCAAGGTCAGTGCCCACCAAACCCTTCTAGTGTTTTCTGTTGGTCAGAGGAGTCCTGTGTGCCAAGTTTGGTTCAATTCCATCGTTGGTGGAGTTCAGAATGCTCTTTGATTATAGGTGAACTATAAATCCCAGCAACTACAACTCCCAAATGACAAAATCATAATATTTTGAGTGATGGTCACTCCTTGTGTTGTGAGACGTTTTGTTGCCAAATTTGGTGTGATTTCGTTCATTGGTTCTTTTGTTTTTAAGGTACCCATTACGCACAGAGTATTTATATATATATATAGATTATTATTATTTGAGTGTGGAGAGGAGCAAACCGCAGACTACAATGTGGTCTGAGCTCTGCCACATGCACAATGGAGAACCTCCTTATAACAACACCAGAGGCACTCCAAGTGCCCAGCTTCTGGTCAAAGGACATTTAGCATAATGCCAAGTTTCTAACTTTGTGGTTTTCTATATTCTCAATTTGCTGCTGACACAATAAATAAATTCTCCCCATTGGTCATTTATATTCTCAAGCGGCACTGCGGGGAAGATCCCTTCAGATCCCCAACCAATCTTTCCGCCGATGGAGAGTCTTGGGGTCTCGCCAGACCCCTCCGGCAGACCGGCTTTGGCTGCAAGGCGATAGCTGGCAAGGCAATCTTTCATCCTCCTGCCTTCCTTCCTCCGATTTATCTTACTAACAAGCCATCGACATGCTTCCCAGGAAAAAGCGTTGACACTATCAGCTTGGGGGCTGCTTCAATCCCTCTCAGCCAGCTGGAAACCCCTCTCTTGCCTTTGCAGAGTCAGAAGAGCCTCTCTGAGTCCTTGCTTGATGCTGGTTGCACACTGAAATAATGCCCATGGCGCTCTCCTCCTGCCAAGCCCAAGAAGCATTTCCTTACCCCGCCTCACTCCAAAGCAGTCGTTCTCAACCTGTGGCCTACAACTCCCAGAAATCCCAGCCAGTTTACCAACTTCTATGTGGAGTTTCAGTGCAGGAAAAGTAGATGGAGGAGGCAAAAGAACAGTCCACCTCAAGGCAGCGTTTTTGCCCTGACCTTACATAACGTTTTTGCTAATGATCAGCCACAGTCACCACTCACAAAGAGCTTTATATACATTGATAACCTTGTCCTAACAACACAAGAAAAAGACTTTGAAACAGTCGAAGACCAACATCCTAATGTCCTGGAAGATCTCTCCAGCTACTTCAAAGATAACCACCGGAAGCCTAACCCTGCCAAGACACAAGTGTCTGATTCTGGGGGTTGGTGCTCATCTCAATTTCTAAGCCGAAGAGCCGGCGTTGTCCATAGACACCTCCAAGACCAGTATGACTACATGGAGCGGCATTACCTCCCTGCAGAAGCTGTACCTATTGATCTACTCCCATTTGCATGTTTTCGAACTGCTAGGTTGGCAGAAGCTCACAGCAGGAGCTCACTCCACTCCCCGAATTTGAACCGCTGACCTTTCGGTCAGCAAGTTCAGCAGCTCAGCGGTTTAACCCACTACCCCACCGGGGGCTCCATAGTACAATATAGTAATATATAATTCTGATATTGTACTATGCTAATAATATAATATATTGCATGTATATGTATCTCGTTGTCCATAGACACCTCCAAGTTCATGTGGCCAGCAAGACTACATGGAACGACATTACCTTCCTGCAGAAGCTGTACCTATTGATCTACTCACATCTGCATGTTTTTTAATTACTAGGTTGGCAGAAGCTGGGGCTGACAGCAGAAGCTCACTCTGTTCCCCGGATTCGAACCTGTGACCTTTTGTCAACAAGTTTAGCAGCTCAGCAGTTTAACCCACTACACCACCGGGGGTTCCATAGTACAATATAGTAATATATAATTCTGATATTGTACTATGCTAAAAATGTAATAAATTGTATGTATACATATCTTGTTGTCCATAGACACCTCCAAGTTCATGTGGCCAGCATGCCTGCATGGAGCGACATTACCTTCCTGCAGAAGCTGTACCTATTGATCTACTCATATTTGCATGTTTTCGAACTGCTAGGTTGGCAGAAGCTCACAGCAGGAGCTCACTCCACTCCCCGAATTTGAACCGCTGACCTTTCGGTCAGCAAGTTCAGCAGCTCAGCAGTTTAACCTACTACGCCACTGGGGGCTCCATAGTACAATATAGTAATGTATAATCCTGATATTGTACTATGCTAATAATATAATATATTGTATTTATACATATCTTGTTGTACATAGACACCTCCAAGTTCATGTGGCCAGCAAAACTACATGGAGCGGCATTATCTTCCTGCAGAAGTTGTACCTATTGATCTACTCACATTTGCATGTTTTTAAACTGCTAGGTTGGCAGAAGCTGGGGCTAATAGCAGGAGCTCAATCCACTCCCCGAATTTGAACCGCCGACCTTTCGATCAGCAAGTTCTGCAGTTCAGCAGTTTAACCCACTGTGCCACTGGGGGCTCCAAGCACAAAGTAACTGCACACAGTAATATCCTGCAGAAACTTAATAATAGCATATGGGGTTCAGATCCAAAATTAGTAAAAACATCAGCCTTGACCTTGTCTTACACAACTGCTGAATATGCCTACCTCATCTGGCATAAATCTGCCAACACAAAGCAGGTGAATATAGCACTGAATGAGACATGTAGAATAATCACAGGATGTCTCAAACCTCAACCTGTTGATAGACTATAAGCTAGCTGGCATTGCCCAACGTAAAGCAGGTGAATATAGCACTGAATGAGAGATGCAGAATAATCACAGGATGTCTCAAACCTACACCTGTTGATAGACTCTATATGCTAGCTGGCATTGCCCAACGTAAAGCAGGTGAATATAGCACTGAATGAGACAGGCAGAATAATCACAGGATGTCTTAAACCTACACCTGTTGATAGACTTTATATGCTAGCTGGCATTGCCCAACGTAAAGCAGGTGAATATAGCACTGAATGAGACAGGCAGAATAATCACAGGACGTCTCAAACCTAAACCTGTTGATAGACTCTATATGCTAGCTGGCATTGCCCAACATAAAGCAGGTGAATATAGCACTGAATGAGACAGGCAGAATAATCACAGGATGTCTTAAACCTACACCTGTTGATAGACTTTATATGCTAGCTGGCATTGCCCAACGTAAAGCAGGTGAATATGGCACTGAATATAGACATGTAGAATAATCACAGGACGTCTCAAACCTAAACCTGTTGATAGACTCTATATGCTAGCTGGCATTGCCCAACATAAAGCAGGTGAATATAGCACTGAATGAGACAGGCAGA